ATAAAGTGTTTTGGTATGATACAAAAATAGAAAAATAAACGTTGATAATCAAATCTCCATGATTATGCAAAATTGGTCACTGATCATGTTTGGCATGCTAAAAACGTACTTTACCGGTTTTGATATTACATAAAAATGATTCTGTAGATAGATTATATATCTGGAAAGTTTTTAAAGAAGTTTAAAATATAGACTACAATTGTAACTGTACATAGACAAGTTGACAATGTTGGTTATATTTGAAATTTTGTGTAAATTTTGCATGTTTTTTTTAATTAAAAGTATCATTACGCTTTCTTTATGTCTACCAATATGGCATATTTAGTATCAAAATAACAGTAATTTTATACACTATACACTATCATAATTCATTTTCAAAATAACATTCGCCTGTGACATTTATCTGTTATTTTGTTGGGATACCCCCGTCACTCAACCTGGTGTTATGCAAGGAGGTCCACTACTGTTATCAGTAATAATTATGAATAATCATTTATGCAGTTAATGATCATTTTTAGCTCACCTGGCCCGAAGGTGCCTGACGTCAACATTTTACTTTAAACAACTTCTTCTCTGTAACCAAAAGGCCTAGGGTGATGATATTTGGCCAGAAGCATGCTGGGATGAAGGGCTAACAAGTTTGTTCAAATAAATGACCTTCATCCATTTTCAAGGTCACAGGGGTCCAATATGTTAAATTCTTTAAACAACTTCTTCTGAATAACCAAAAGGCCTAGGGTGATGATATTTGGCCAGTTACTGGCTGGGATGAAGGGCTACCAATTTTGTTCAAATAAATGACCTTCCTCCACTTTCAAGGTCACAGGGGTCCAATATGTTAAATTCTTTAAACAGCTTCTTCTGAATAACCAAAAGACAAAGGGTGATGATATTTGGCCAGTTACTTGCGGGGATGAAGGGCTACCAATTTTGTTCAAATAAATGACCTTCATCCATTTTCAAGGTCACAGGTGTCAAAATATGTTAAATTCTATAAACAACTTCTTCTGAATAACCAAAAGACATAGGGTGATGATATTTGGCCAGTTACTTGCTGGGATGAAGGGCTACCAATTTTGTTCAAATAAATGACCTTGATTTATAATCAAGGTCACATGGGTCAAATATGTTTAAAATCTTTCAACAACTTCTTCTGAATAATCGAGAGGCCTAGGGTGATGAGATTTGTCCAGTAATATGCTGGGTTGAAGAGCTACCAGGTTTGTTCAAATAAATGACCTTGCCTTATATTCAAGGTCACAGGGGTCAAATATGTCCAAAACATTTAAACAACTTCTTCTGAATAACCAAGAGACCTAAGGTGATGATATTTTGCCAATAGCATGCTGGGATGAAGGGCTACCAGGTTTGTTCAAATAAATGACCTTCATCCATTTTCAAGGTCACAGGGGTCAAATATGTTTAAAACCTTCAAACAACTTCTTCTGAATAACCAAAATGCCCAGGGTGATGATATTTGTCCAGTAGCATGCTGGGATGAAGGGCTACAAAGTTTGTTCAAATGAATGACCTTGACGAACTTTTAAGGTCACAGGTGTCAAAGGTCTTAAAATCTTCAATCAACTTCTTCTTAATAACCAAAAGGTCCAGGGTACTGATATTTGGCTTGTAGCAACCAGGGCTACCAACTTTGTTCAAATGAATGACCTTGGCCCACTTTCAACCTAATGTCATTGTTTGACATTCAAGGTCACACTGATATTCTGCCTGTAGCTGTATTTTAGTCCACTTTTAAGATTACAAGTGTGAGATTAATACCAAGAGGGCGATGCAGGCCCATTGGGCCTCTTGTTATGTATCTAAATGTGGTAAGAGAATAAAAGAAATCAAAGTGGGGGCCAAATGTTGACCCCAACTTTAATGCATGATGTGATATAATCAATGGATTAAGCTCTGTAGAAAAATGTTTTCTTGATATTTATAATACATACCAGTGTTCAGCTTGATTTAGATTGATAACACCCTTTAATTTTCTAAATAAAACCTTTTTTTCAGAAAACACTTTATTAAATGAATGATGTGTTATTACCTGAAGGACTGTTTGAAACTGCATCTTTAGGATCATGATTCAATTATATCCTGAATCAATTTGTTTGAATATTTCTAAATTAATTGATGAAGAGCACATAGCTGATCACATATGATGACACTGAGAATTTTAATGCTGACCACAGCACCACACACACACACATACTCCTCATACTACTATACACTTCCTTTCACAAGTAGGGGCTGAGGTGGTTAAGGTGTCTGACATTCTGCTACCACTAGCCCTCTACCACTGGGTCACGGATTCGAGGCCTGTGTTGGGCAGTTACTAGGTACTAGCCATAGGTCGGTGGTTTTTCTCCAGGAACTCTGGCTTTCCTCTGTCACCAAAACCTTGCACGTCCTTAAATGACCATAGCTGTTAATAGGACGTAAAACACAAACAAACCAAACAAAACCTTTCTCAAGTACTTTGCATAAATGCTTTGTCGCTGGTTTTATTCCTATTTTGCATTGTTTTCTCCACTAGACTGCAATACCTGATGTCCATGGCCACTTACATCTGGCTACTTGTACTGGTGCTGATGTACTACTTAGCCTACCACACGACCATCACGAGACACTACAATAACAGATCATCGCGAGACACTACAATAACATACCATCACGAGACACTACAATAACACACCATCACGAGATACTACACACTACAATGACACCCCATCACAAGACACTACAATAACAGACCATCGCGAGACACTACAATAACAGCCCATCACGAGACACTACAATAACACCCCATCACGAGACACTACAAAAACACACCATCACGAGACACTACAATAACACACCATCACGAGATACTACACACTACAATGACACACCATCACAAGACACTACAATAACAGATCATCGCGAGACACTACAATAACAGACCATCACGAGACACTACAATAACACACCATCACGAGACACTACAAAAACACGTATAAGCTAGCTCCTTCCATCTAAGCAGTACACACCATAAGCAATCTTTTAGGAAATAACTTATGCACTCATGATCATTGGTTGATGCTGCAGGGGCATCCTTTGAAGCTAATTAAAAAGGTCATTCTTTCTCCTGAATGCATATAGATTGAGCTATTTTAAAGGGAAAATATACTGCATTATTGCTCTAAGGAGTGATGTTTTAGCAATAATATTTTAATTTGTTAAAAAAATTGAAATACTTTCGTGGCCTTTTGTGATCAGTCTTTGTCCATCATTGTACATCATGTGTTAACACTTAACTTTTTTCGACTTATTCTTTAAAACGGCTGAAACTGAATAGAAGGGCCAAAAAGGAGAAATTTCATATAAACTAAAAATGTCTAAAAAGGAAACGGAGCTTCACTGAATGCTTGATAATGATGCTATGGGGGAGGGTTAAGGAGGAACTAAGGAAATAAAACAATATTCATCAGAAGTTTTCAATGTTTTAGAAATTGCCAGTTAGCATTGCAAACTGAACAAACATTTGCAATCCTATTGCTGTCCATTATCTGTTTGTATACTTTTTCTTGGAATGACTTCTTCTCAAGAACCACTAAGCATTATATGAAGTATTTGGAGGTGATGTTGATTCTGATTTACAAAAGAAAAGCAGCTGGCCCCTTTTGAGGGATAGAAAAACATTAAACTTTGGGACATCTAAATCTAATTAACAGACAGTATGATGGTTTTGGTAATTATAATGCTGCAGTCTTGATGCATGATCTGCATTATTTTCAGATTTAAAGGAAATAAAAAATCTATCAATAAATGTAGCCAAAAGTGGGTGCTTTGCAAGGCAAATGATGAAAACACTTCATCTGAAGAATGAAATTGCTAAGAGTCACAATATTTGGGCAATTACTTATGTTATGGTGTGCTATCAAGTTTGTGAATATGAAGGGTCTTCACATATCTTCAAGGTCACAGGGTCTAATTTATTTAAACACTGGAACAATTTCTCTTTTTAGGAATCCAATAGCCTAGTGTTCTGAGATATGACAAGTAGCTTAATTGCTGGTTTGAATTGGTAGAAAGTTCACAAAAGGAACATCCCTGACCCATGTTAAAGCTCAAAGAAGTCATATTTCTTCACTACTCAAACAACTTCTTCTGAAGAACTGAAAGGCCTGGAGTCATGATAATTGGCTATAACTCGCTAGCATTAATCAGTACTTCAAGCTTGTCAATATCAATGGCATGGACCCATATTTAAGGCACAGAGGTCAACACTGTTAACAAGTTCATGCAACACCTTATAATCAGAAATAACTTCACTTCTTAAAACATGATATTTGACCAGTGTATTGCTGGCATGGAGAGCTACAAAGTTGGGAACAAAAACACCTTAACCAGTATTCAAAGTTTTAATATAATTGGGTCAAATTGTTACATCAGCCAAACCACTTCAAAGGTACCAAAAGAACTAGAACGTTGATTTGTGGCCAGTTACTTGCTGCAGTGTGCAAAACAAAATCATAAAAACATAAATAGTCCTTATTCAAGGTCAAACCGGTCAAATGTGTTGTAACAATTCTTCATAATAACTATATATTTATAAGGCCTAGAGTCATGAGTTGGCATGAATTGTCCAAAAGATTGGCTGGTTTTAGTGATCCCAGGATTGGGCTGATATTAATGACCCCAAGATTGGGTTGATTTTTAGCGGCGTAAAAGTTGGTGCTATCAGTGGATTTACCTGTACCTGTCATTTGGACAACAAAGGTAGAAACACACATGTATTGTTATTGAAACATATGAAATCAGTAGCGTAAATGATTTTTGTAAAGGATGTACGTAAGTGTGTAATCTTGTTTAATACATGTAATTGATATAAAAGTCAGTGCCTATGTCGCTGTGAACTACAGTTATGTATGTTGTTTATCATATTGAATGATACAGGGAAGGGACGGTAGCTAAGAGACAACAGTTTTGATACTGCTAATTGCTATTTTATACAGGTTGGTGTGGGCGTTAGGATGGAGAGGAATTTACCTGGATAAAGGTGTGAGGTGTGTGACACCATTGACCTGAGCAATCTTGCAGGTTCTCCAGCACCCGACCAATGATACCCAGATGACCAGCAGTTCTGCATGGACATTGATACTGGCCATTATACAGGTTCCACAGCCGACTAGGAGCTCTGATCATTGACCTCAGCCATCAGAACGCTCTCCCTCACACCTGACCACAGCAGCTCTAATGGGTCAAATATACATCCATTAACATGAAGATGTCGCTGAAACTCTCAGAAGAGCAGATCAGTGGTTGCCGCCGGGGATCAGACATAGATATTGAGGTAGGTACATCACCACTTTCACTTTCTTTCTTTGCAGGTTCTCATTTTTGCAGTAAAACCTGTTGTAAATCAAAATCTGAGGTTTTAAGATTGTTAGCAATGGGCATACAGAGTTTTCGCCCTTGGTATGGTAATGGTATTCAAAAAGGTCTTTTAGAACATCAGTAGGTCATGATGGAACTGTTGATGTTTAGTTTTCATAGAATGTTTCAATAAAACTTGACAACACAAGAAAATCAGGATTGTTCCAGTATTTGGCCAAGCTGCCTTTGAGAAATTTTACACCAAGTGTCAGTACCAGATAATGTTAAAACCTCATTAATAAAATCCCTCGTTTACTAATCCTACAGGGAAGTACGTCTGAAAAATGACATTCTTTCGGTAAACATTACCCAGGAAACATGCATTTGTAATTAATAAAAAGTGTCACAGTTTTCTTGATAGGAGATCATTCAGAATTCCAATTCCTTACATGACAGGATTTAAGTATGACCAAGGTATCAGAAGTCTCCCCCAACCCCACCCCCACCTAACTATATATTTTTCGTTGGGTTTATTAGCTCACCTGGTCCAAAGGACCATGGTGAGCTTATGCCATACCGCAGCGTCCGTCGTCCATCCGTCCGTCAACTTTTCACTAAATTTGGTCTGGAGTATCCTTAGGCCAAGAGGACTCAATTTTGTATAAACGGTGGGTGTGGCCCCCCTGGGGGCTGAGGGGCTGGGCCCAATAGGGGAAATAGAGGTAAAACCTTGAAAATCCTTCTTCTACCGTAGGGATTAAGGAATTTTATCCTATTTTAGTCTGGAGCATCCTTGGGTCAAGGGGACTCAATTTTGTATAAATGGTGGGTGTGGCCCCCCTGGGGGCTGAGGGGCGGGGCCCAATAGGGGAAATATAGCAAATTATTCTTTAAAATCCTTCTTCTGTAGGAATGAAAGGATTTTGTCCATATTTGGTCAGAAGCATCCTTGGGTGAAGGGGAACCAATTTTGTAGAAACGGTGTGTCTAACCCCCCTGGAGGCAGAGAGGCGGGGCCCAATAGGGGAAATAGAGGTAAAACCTTTAAAATCCTTCTTCTACCCTAGGGATTAAGGGATTTTATCCTAATTTAGTCTGGAGCATCCTTGGGCCAAGGGGACTCAATTTTGTATAAGCAGTGGGTGTGGTCTCCCAGGGGCCAGAATGGCGGGGCCCAATAGGAGAAATAGAGGTGAAACCTTTAGAATCCTTCTTCGACCATCGGGATTAAGGGATTTTATCCTTATTTAGTCTGGAGAGCATTCTTGGGTCAAGAGGACTCAATTTTGTATAAGCAGTGGGTGTGGTCTCCCAGGGGCCAGAATGGCGGGGCCCAATAGGAGAAATAGAGGTGAAACCTTTAGAATCCTTCTTCGACCATCGGGATTAAGGGATTTTATCCTTATTTAGTCTGGAGAGCATTCTTGGGTCAAGAGGACTCAATTTTGTATAAGCAGTGGGTGTGGTCTCCCAGGGGCCAGAATGGTGGGGCCCAATAGGAGAAATAGAGGTGAAACCTTTAGAATCCTTCTTCGACCATCGGGATTAAGGGATTTTATCCTTATTTAGTCTGGAGAGCATTCTTGGGTCAAGAGGACTCAATTTTGTATAAGCAGTGGGTGTGGTCTCCCAGGGGCCAGAATGGTGGGGCCCAATAGGAGAAATAGAGGTGAAACCTTTAGAATCCTTCTTCGACCATCGGGATTAAGGGATTTTATCCTTATTTAGTCTGGAGAGCATTCTTGGGTCAAGAGGACTCAATTTTGTATAAACGGTGGGTATGACACACACACACACCCCCTTAGGGGCATAGGGGTGGGGCTCTGTTTGAAGTTTTTTCTGGCTAAATATCAAGTACTGGATGGATCTTTCTGAAATTTCATATGTACTTACAGCACCTACCATGGAGTGCTTTATCTTTACTTCATGCCAATTATTTTAAACATATTCAGGTGAGCGATACAGGCCCTCTGGGCCTCTTGTTTACATTGTATGATGTATGGTGTGGATAAATAGCTTTTTATTACAGAAAAGTAGCAAAGCAGCATATTGATACTGAATGTCCTATCAGCCTTTGTCCACGGCTCTGATAGGCTGGAGACATCATATTGATACTGAATGTCCTATCAGCCTTAGTCCACAGCTCTGATAGGCTGGGGACATCATATTGATACTGAATGTCCATCAGCCTTAGTCCACAGCTCTGATAGGCTGGAGACATCATATTGATGCTGAATGTCCTATCAGCCTTAGTCCACGGATCTGATAGGCTGGAGACATCATATTGATGCTGAATGTCCTATCAGCCTTAGTCCACAGCTCTGATAGGCTGGAGACATCATGTTGATACTGAATGTCCATCAGCCTTAGTCCACAGCTCTGATAGGCTGGAGACATCATATTGATACTGAATGTCCTATCAGCCTTAGTCCACGGCTCTGATATGCTGGAGACATCATATTGATACTGAATGTCCTATCAGCCTTAGTCCACGGCTCTGATATACTGGAGACATCATATTGATACTGAATGTCCTATCAGCCTTAGTCCCCAGCTCTGATAGGCTGGAGACATCATGTTGATACTGAATGTCCATTAGCCTTAGTCCACGGCTCTGATAGGCTGGAGATATCATATTGATACTGAATGTCCTATCAGCCTTAGTCCACGGCTTTGATATGCTGGAGATATCATATTGATACTTAATGTCCTATCAGCCTTAGTCCACGGCTCTGATATACTGGAGACATCATATTGATACTGAATGTCCTATCAGCCTTAGTCCACAGCTCTGACAGGCTGGAGACATCATATTGATACTGAATGTCCATTAGCCTTAGTCCACGGCTCTGATAGGCTGGAGACATCATATTGATACTGAATATCCTATCAGCCTTAGTCCACGGCTCTGATATACTGGAGACATCATATTGATACTGAATGTCCTATCAACCTTAGTCCACGGCTCTGATAGGCTGGAGACATCATATTGATACTTAATGTCCTATCAGCCTTTGTCCACGGCTCTGATATACTGGAGACATCATATTGATACTGAATGTCCTATCAGCCTTAGTCCATGGCTCTGATAGGCTGGAGACATCATATTGATACTGAATGTCCATCAGCCTTAGTCCACGGCTCTGATATACTGGAGACACCATATTGATACTGAATGTCCTATCAGCCTTAGTCCACGTCTCTGATATACTGGAGACATCATATTGATACTGAATGTCCTATCAGCCTTAGTCCACGGCTCTGATATACTGGAGACACCATATTGATACTTAATTTACTATCAGCCTTTGTCCACGGCTCTGATATGGAGTATAAAGAAAATAAATAAATAAATATACAACATTTTATTTAGCGCCCTATCTAGCTAACATAAGCCACTCTAAAGTGCTTTACAGTACAAAGATATACAATTTTATACAGTCAACACAATTAGCATCTGTATTAATCAATACAATATTAAGGAATTCACAGGAGCTGCCTTATCAGGCGCTAACTACTAGTCCTATGCCACCTGGCTAAATAGTATAAGTATATGAACATCATACATGTTAAGGACCGCTTTATAAGAACATAGATGAGAGGAAAGTTTGTATATTAATGTCAGGCTTACTAAATACCCGAGGTGTTGTACACAAAAACCAAGACAATTTCGTAACATGTTACAAAGGAATCAACGCAAGTCTGGTACTCAGGGTTGCAATGTCTCTGCTCTAATGTTTGTAGTATATCTAATATACACTACACCGTCTTTCTGAACTTATTGAATATGTATTGGAATAATTACTGGTTGTTGCTGATGTATGTATCATCAATGGAAGTGTCAACCTCTGAAATCTCCAACATGGGAGATCGCCCTCATTCCACATTTTCAATGAGAGAGAAAGTGTGTTAACGCGACTGAAACTGCTCTATTATCTTTCCCTTTTCATGTATCAAAATAACTTTAAAAAGCATTCATTTGATTCAGACAAATTCTCTAGAGGGAGACCAAATGGGAGATAACTCTTATGGAAGGTCACTCTAATGGAAGACCCCTATGATGGCAAAACACTTTTAATGATACCTGTATGAAGTTTAATGGGGAAACACAAAGATGTACATGTAAATTAGCAGCTTAAATGACTGGTGACTGCTCAGTGCACTGTGTTAATGGCTGTGGTGACTGCTCAGTGCGCTGTTAATAGCTGTGGTGACTGTTCAGTGCACCGTGTTAATGGCTGTGGCGACTGCTCAGTGCACCGTGTTAATGGCTTTGGTGACTGCTCAGTGCACCGTGTTAATGGCTGTGGTGACTGCTCAGTGCACCGTGTTAATGGCTGTGGTGACTGCTCAGTGCACCGTGTTAATGGCTGTGGTGACTGCTCAGTGCACCGTGTTAATGGCTGTGGTGACTGCTCAGTGCACCGTGTTAATGGCTGTGGTGACTGCTCAGTGCACCGTGTTAATGGCTGTGGTGACTGCTCAGTGCACCGTGTTAATGGCTGTGGTGACTGCTCAGTGCGCCGTGTTAATGGCTGTGGTGACTGCTCAGTGCACCGTGTTAATGGCTGTGGTGACTGCTCAGTGCACCGTGTTAATGGCTGTGGTGACTGCTCAGTGCACCGTGTTAATGGCTGTGGTGACTGCTCAGTGCACCGTGTTAATGGCTGTGGTGACTGCTCAGTGCGCCGTGTTAATGGCTGTGGTGACTGCTCAGTGCACCGTGTTAATGGCTGTGGTGACTGCTCAGTGCGCCGTGTTAATGGCTGTGGTGACTGCTCAGTGCACCGTGTTAATGGCTGTGGTGACTGCTCAGTGCACCGTGTTAATGGCTGTGGTGACTGCTCAGTGCGCCGTGTTAATGGCTGTGGTGACTGCTCAGTGCGCCGTGTTAATGGCTGTGGTGACTGCTCAGTGCACCGTGTTAATGGCTGTGGTGACTGCTCAGTGCACCGTGTTAATGGCTGTGGTGACTGC